TCTTTTCCTCTACTTCTCCCCACCTTCTCCCTCTTTCCCTTTACTTCACCACCTTCTTTTTTCCTCTACTTCTACTCTACCTTCCCCCTTCTTTCCCCCACCTTCCCCCTCCTTTCCTCTACTTTCCCCTCACCTTCTTCCTCTTTCTCTCTTCTTCTTACCCACCTTCTTTTTTCCTCTACTTCTCCCCACCTTTTCTCTCTTTCCCTTTACTTCTCCCCCACCCTCTAATTCTCTCCTTTTCTCATGTCTTTTCCTCTACTTTACCTCCCCTCACTTTTCTCTTGGTCTTTTCCTCTCTGTCACCCATCCCCCTTTTTCTTCAGTCTTCTCCAGCTCCCACATCATCTCCCTGTCTTTTCCTTTTTTTCCACGCCCATCCATACCCCCACCTCCCTATTTTTTCTTCTTCCTCTTTCTTCACCTCTGCTTCCCTTGGACCAGGAGAACTCTTGTCAAACCACTATGTGCCCAGCCTAGGGTAGAGGAGCTGTGTCATTGGCCCCAGGGTAGAAAGAACAGCACACATTCCTCCCCCTTTCTTGCACTGGGGTGGTTCACCAGGCCTGCTTGGGTTGTAGGTGTCACTTTTGTGGCATTGTAGCCTGGAGATGTAGAATGTGGTTCCTAGTGAGCTATATATAATAAGACTTGCCATTTATAGAGATCTTTTTGCATTTTTAAGTTCTAAAGTTCTGTCACTAATTGGTCTAACTGGACACCCTTGGGACTTTGACATAAGGTTTTTTGGATATACTCAGGTGAAAGCTGAAATACAATGGATTAGGATCTAGGGACTTTTTGCATTCTTGATATTCTGTGAACTTGGTCACTTTATTGCCTTTAAAGCTTAAACTTTAAGTAGTCTTAGATCTTCTTGCTGTACTTTTCATTGTCTCCTACTTTTTGATTTAAAAAGTTCTTCAGCCTTGAAAATGTCAGCCATGTTGAGACTTAAAATTCCCAATGCAGTATTTTTATTTTATCCTTTTTTACCTTGGGCTCGAAGTGTATGTGGTCATGTATATAATGGGAATAGTACTAAACCTGATACATAAAAAGTTTGCAGGTAACAAACATGAATATGAGCAACAATCTTGGTATATTTTTTCCAAATTATTTAGGTTTTTACGTGTAAGAACACAAACTTTGCTAAACTATGGACAATAAATATTTAAATGCATGCCTTTGTACCAATAATGCAGTGTTATACTCAAGATTTTCATAACGCTAAATTTTATTTCGGCTTTGGTTCTGGTCTGTGATTTCATCAGTGTGGGGACACCCTCCATTGAAGCAAATCAGCAACTTCTCTATAAATTATTATCTTAAAGTGTCATATGGGTACTGAGACTGTTAAGTGACTTGCCTGTAATTGGTGAGCCAGTATGTGTCTGAGGCAGGGCTTGAACCTAGGTCTTTCTGAAGACAAAACTGACCCAGCTCTCAGTGCTATTTATTCTATGTTGCCTTTCCAACATTAGATTATATGGGAGTAGGGAGACTTAACTCTGCTACAAACTAGTTGTGTTAGTTCCGTCACAATTTCTTCATCTATAAAATTAAGTTGGATTATCTGATCACTAAGGTTCCTTTTAGCTTTATGATACACTATGATCTTATTTGTATACGAATCTTATCTCATTCCCCCCCTCCCCACCATAGATTATAAATTCCTTAAAATTGGAAACTGCTTATTGTATTCTCTGTAATTCATTTATTGTCATCGTATCACAATCAAAATTGGGTGCTTTAAAGTAAAAAAATTTGGCATCTTTTTTTTTTTGAGTTTGCAGTCATGCTTAGGAACTTTGGGTACATCAGTTTCTTAAAATATTAAAGTAATTCTAGCATAAATAGTGAAGTTTTCCTGAATAAAATGTATATACTGTATAAAATGTAATGCAACATTTTAGAAACTAAATTTTTTTGAGTGGGAAGGAATTACTGAATTGTTAGCGTCTGTTTTTTTTTTTTTGTTTTGAGCTAGGCAGTGGAGTTAAGTGACTTGCCCAGGGTCAGACAGCTAGTTAAGTGTCAAGTGTCTGAGGCCAGATTTGCGCTCAGGTCCTCCTGACTCCGGGGCCAATGTTCTATCCTCTGCACTACCTAGCTGCCCCCAGTGTCTGTTGTTTCAAGGCAAACTGTTATATTTTCTCTGCAGCATTTAATTCTATTCAACAATAACAAAAATATTAACCGAGGCACTTTTAGGCATTGGAAATACACTAGGCAGTCCCTAACTTTAAAAAGTTTATAATCTAATGGGAAGTGAGGGATAAAATGAGATAGGATATTCACAAAATGTAAGAACATAAAGCTGGAAGGCATCTTAAAGATCGGGTAATCTAGCCTTATTTTACAAAGGAAGAAATTGAGAGCCATAGAGGTTAAATGACTTGCCCAAAGTCATAACAGCCAGTTTAGAGAAGAGATCGGTCTCCTGGCTCCTAGCTCAGCTTCTTAGTCTTCAAAATTTTGGCCACTTAAATAATTTTAAATGAACACTTAAGGAAATGTTTAAAGTGCCAAGTTGACCAGTACAGTTATTATAAATACATCATTTTTAATGTGTACTTAGATCACTTTTTAGGATCCTAATTAAGCTGATTTCTGTAAGACTTAAACTCATATGGAAACCCTATTGTTTGGTTTTGTTGGAACATAAAGTGGCAGATAGAAAAGCAAAAAATAATGTTAATTTCATTTAATTAGAAATGTAGAATACATTTGTTTGACTTATAAAAAGCATAAAGAACACAAGGCTTGCTTCTAAAAATATAGAAATGTTGTTAATACTTTAACTTTACAAAGATAATAAACAGGGTTTTTTTCTTCAGAATAGACACTTGATTTCCCTTGCCATATTTTCCCTTAAAAAGTTTAGTACATTAGAAATAACATGAGAATTGACAACTATGAATATCACCTCGTTTAATCATTTTAATAGTCATGTAGATTTCTTCATTCCCTTTTCTTATAATTAATCTTGGTCCTTAAAATTACCAATGCTGAATGAAAAAGGTAGTTCCATTTCTATGTTCCTAGAATGGTAGATGAAAGGGCAGCCTTCTTGTTTTACTAAGGCAACTGAATCTGCTGCTCAGAGTGCTAATTTATAGTTATTTTTCCTGTAAGGATTTATCTGAAGTAATAGACTGATTTCTCTGTGTGTTCAGAACAAGACAAAAAATGGAAATGATTTTGTAGTTAGTAACCTGAATCATTTTAAAATTTGGATCTTGAAGTCAAAAGTTTCATACCCCAGTCTAATTCATTTAGTACTTTCTTTAGATTTAAACCCTTAACTTCTCTGTTTGAGGTTATTTTTAGCTAATTGTAGAAAACTGACAAACTATCAGAATTAGAACTAATCATATCTTTTCATTTAAGGCAACATGTTTACATACATTTCAGCTCCAATTTAATTTTGGGACAATATCCCTTGTTAGAAACACAATATCAAAGGGAAAACTATTATTTGCTGACAAAATTACTTTGTTTCTAGAAGCCATCCCCCAAATTTAGGAATGAGAAGAAATTTTTAGCTTCCAAGAAATTAAAAACAAGCAGAGGAGAAAAAAGACACCTGGTTGCATAGAACAGTGGTCTCCCAAATCAAATCAAGATCCAAATTTAGCAGTTAGCCAAGAAATACAAAAAGTACATACAAAAGAAGTATATGGAAACACTTAAAAAAAAAAGAGAGAGAGAAAACTGAGTAGCTAAGGTACTTTCTGGGCCATCCACCAGGTGGGCTGAAGCCCTGGTGGCTGTCAACCCTTTTCCCTACATTATCCATTCCTTTCACTTTTCCTTTTTGTTAGTCAGGAAGTGGAGTCCAAGTTAGAACAGCTGGGTTTATAATGGCTTCAGGGTTCCTGCTACTGCTCACACTGAGTGGCACTGTCTAATGCTATAAATATTTTCTTTTCTTTTCTTTCCTTTTCTTTTTTAAAGAAAATCATAACTTAGAAACACTACTTTGAACGTGTAGGCATAAACAGGATATGAAATGTAACTCAAAATGAAACCTTAAAATTCAAATTATTTACTTTTTTATTAGAAAAATTGATACAAATTTCAAGAAGATTATAGTACCAATTTAATTCACTATCCATAGGTAATTTTGTTATATTTGTTTTTGTTTATATGATCACATATGATCATATAAAACTTGACGTCATTTTGGAAAAATTCCCTTTATCTTTTCATTAAAATCTTTATATTTGCTTTTAATATACTATAATTTTTTATCCATTTCCCAATTATTGGGCATTTTGATTGTTTCTAGTTTTTTACTATTACAAATTTTAAAACTGTGAACATTTTTGTTTGTAGTAACCTTTTTCTTTTAATTTATTTTTGTAATATCTTTAGAATATTGTCCCAGAAGTGGGGTTAGTGGGTCAGAGGCTG